ATTGAAACCGTTAATGAATATTTATACATATTACATATATGTTTTCTTTTATATTACTGGATTTCATACCTTTTTCCCGCTATAACATTCACCTACAGTCAACAAGTGCTTACATGCTTTTAGTCTTATCAGAAACGAAGTATAGACCATGGTTACCATATCTGACCTGAAATGCGATGGTGTTGGAGCCCCATATACAGGTTAGAATCCTTCGCAGATGGAAACATGATGTTCGTCGGTATGAAACCTCGTACCTGGCCGTTGACAGATTTGTAAGCTTATTACAGACAACATTCATTTCCCATGTACATATAACGCATACCGTTTTGACGGATTCATATATATATATATATATATATATATATATATATATATATATATATATATATATATATATATATATATATATATATATATATATCATGGTTGCAAAAATCGCTCGACGTTAGCTAGTCGGTGGACTGGGATCAAGGGATTAATCGGCTAGGCAGAGATTAATCGGGGGATTAATCGGGTACCATTAATTGCTAATTTGTTGAATTTTAGAAAAAAGAATATGACTAATATCATATCAAAGTTCGTAAATACCATTAATTTGATAACAAAATAGGTTAATATTATTAATACAACACTAATTATGCCGCAAATAGTTTCCATTGAGATAAAATTTCTTCAAAATGTTCAAATTTCATCGTTTTATAATGTTTCACTCATTATGTATGCAAGGATTAATCACTAGGCGCCCTCTAATCGGTCAAGTAGCGCCTAGGGATTAATCGGAGATTAATCGGGACATAGTCGGGATTTTTACAACAGTGATATATATATATATATATATATATATATATATATATATATATATATATATATATATATATATATTAAGTTATTACAAAAAGGTTTTCAATTCTTTTATTATCAAAGTATCCCAAAACATCAACATAAAACTGAGGAGCGGTACGATCATGCCTTCGCCTTGCCACGGTCTCCTGAAGTACCTGAAACAATACATTGAAACTGTAAGCCCGCAAGCTTAGTGAGTTACCCCCAAAATACCAACCACAATACCATACACATATCATATCATATCATAAACAGAACAGCCATGCATATCGAGTCTACAGTGTGACTGGTCCGCCTGCACCAGGCCTTCAGTCCACCCGGTCCACTCTCTCTCCAAGTCTACAATATGAATGGTCCGCCCACACCGGGCCTTCAGTCCACCTGGTCCACTCTCTGAGTCTACAGTATGACTGGTCCACCCGCACCGGGCCTTCATTCTGTCTGGTCCACTCTCCGAGCCTCGGCACGTCTGGTCCGCCCTCTTGGGGCTTTCAGGCCATCCGGACCGCTCGCGGATCCTTCGATCTAATCGGTTCGCCCTGGGTATGTTGGCCTACAACGCAAAGCAGGACCCATCTCAACCCAATCCAGTCCAACAACCATGTGCACATAAACATATAATCATATAGCAATTCACAACTAAACAACCGATCTAGCAGATCACATAACATAGCAAAATCCTAACCAGGATACCGACCTAACTGGTCACTAACATAGCAGCATCCTATATATACCAGGATACCGACCTTAACCAAGTCTCTAACATATACCACCCTAACTACCAGGATGCGGACATAGCAAAGCAATAACATAACAAACAACTACCCGGATTCCCATCCGATAAAGGGCCGGCCTTGGTGCCTTAGACCTTGTCGATATAGTGAGGATAACTCACCTGCAACTGCTGACTTGAAGAAAGAAGACCACGCTGCTCCGACCACCAACACGAACTCCACCACTGATCATTACCAAATAACCAAAACCAATAAACACCAATAATTACCAAAATACCCTTGGAAGTCAAATTGGTCAACCCTTGGTCCAAGTCAAAGTCCTCAGTTAAAGTCAACCTTCCTGGTTGACCCTACTCTTCAAGTCAACCCGTTGACTCGTCGAGTTCCTATGCTCAGAAACTCCCATGCCACGAATCAACTCGCCGAGTCACCCCAAGACTCGTCGATTCCATCAAGCTCTGAGTCCCTTCCTACTCAAGTCACCGAGTCATCCCTCGACTCACTGTTTCACAACCCAACTAGAAAAGGTTAGGACTTCACGACTAGACTCGCCGAGTCAAAGGAAATCTTCAACATACTCGCCAGGTTGTTCTTCCAACTCGCCGAGTCCATGCACATAATCATACAACTCGTCGAGCACACCTATGTGACTCGCCGAGTCTCTTCAGTTCTCATTCCATATAGAGGCTTTTCAAGCCATGCAGGGACTCCAATCCATAGATCCACTCTTCTACAGCCTAACCCTCGCATAAAGTTGCAAACTTTACGTGAAAGCAAGGAGATATAAGCCCAAAACACTTCTAGGGCTAGGGTTAAAGACAAAGGGCTTCACCAATAACTCTTAGACAGGAACTTTATGACCTTTTGTGCCATCACAAGTCTAGATCTGAAGTAGCAACTTCAGATCTAAGCCTCAAACTCGAGATAGCTCCCAAAAAAGCTAATGAATCCCAAATTAACCACCATTCATGAATCAATAATGAAATAGCTTAAGGAGGAGGTTCCTTACCCCTGAAATGTGCCCAAATAGAAGTAGATTCCAGATCTACCCAAGCCTCTTGATGATGGCCTCCAAATCCCCAAGCTTCTTACACCAAATTTCTCTTCCAAGCTTTAATTCTTCATCAATGGAGTCACACACACGAGATGAGGGTTTCTGGATCTCAAATGGGTAGCAAAGAGGCTGAATGTGGGTTATAATGTGCTTTATATAGGGCACAATCCCCGGATTAGGGTTTTCTCCCTTCAGCACCAACTCGCCGAGTCCAGTCGCCGACTCGCCGAGTTGGTCACTTAACACGTGACCAGAACCGCGACTCGACTCGCCGAGTCTACCCATCGACTCGCCGAGTCGACCTTCCTTATTTACACTAAGAACCCTGAACTTGCACTTCTGAACTTGGGGTGTTACAGTGTGTCACAAGTAGGGTTACACCATGTAAACCCTAATTGACATGACTTTTCATTTCCTCTATGATCCATGGGTTTTAACCTCCATGGACCATCCATGGAGCACCCTATGGGTTTTAGCCCAATTCAATAAACCATGGATCATCAGCCTACAATATAAGAATGGATGATTTACACAATCAACCCTATATATTTAATTAGTCTCTTTTTTTTATCATAAAAATAATTCCAAATTGATTCTTGATCAATACTCATTAAATAATATTATTAATATATTAGAACTTATAATATATTAATAAACCATACGTGTCCTTTTCTCATTTTGTCTATCCAAGTGTCATGATGTCATGTAACCTAAATGGACCATGCCAACCGGGTTAAGTACATACCATAAATAGTTATGAACTTAGACATCTAATCCAACATCTTCAACTAGCAAGCACACCATCTTTTTCTTCAAGGGATAAAATCACCATAAAGAGCTCACAAGTTCAATATGAAGGCTAGGGTTTCTTGGAGGATGAAATGGAGTTGATGGAAACTGAGGGTGTGCAAACAATAGCCCTCACTTCCTTTAAATAAGGGCACAAATCCTAGAATTAGGGTTAAACACCCAGTCGGCCGTTATGTTGTAACCAAAGGCTTGTCACGTCATGACACACAAGATTGAAATGCGTTTATACAAATATTGTCACGTCGTGGCAACCCATGTCCCATGTCGGCACAAGGTTTTCCCCAAAAACCCCATCTTTGATTTGATTAAGTTTTAGCTGATCCACTCTAGAAAACAGATGTTACATAAACATTTAAAGATAATGACCAATGGGCCACATAATACCCACACAAATTAGGATCACAACATATGTTTTTATCAAATTTATCATATTTATCAAATGTATGTTTTATGAGATTCATAAAGTGTATGTTTTTATCAATAATAATTTATTTTTTTTCAGACTTTTGTGAGTTTTTCATTTTTAGGAAAAAAAATGATTGAAATGGAGTTTGTAGTTTTGATTGTTTCTTACTGTGGTTACCCGTCTTCATAAGGCTCATTTAGGTTCGGTTTCGGTTAGTGCTTGCAAGGTAACCTGCCCCGCTGTCACGGTTCATAAGTTTATTACTATCCGATCCGAACCTCTCCATGAACACCCCTAGACAGGAATTAAGATTGTAGCTTCCAATTTTAACAAACACACACACACACACACACACGAAGGGTTGCTTTAATGCCCTAAGATATCCCAAATCATACAAGCATCACAATAATATAAATCAGTGAATGGTGTAAAACAAGGTTGTTAAGATTGAGATTTTAACTAAGATCATTTTATGTTTTGCAAGATTATAATCGTAAGATTAGATCAGAATCGAAAAAACCCTACCAAAATAAACTTAGAACTTGATGTGGACTGGGTCAATATACATTATAACTTGATGCCAATTGAGTATGCAACATACATTATAACTTGATGTCGATTAAGACTTCAATATGGAGGCAACTTTAACTTTTTAACATGAATCATAATTTTTGTTGCTGCAAACCGTAATAATTAAGAAGAAAACATCTTAATTACAAAAAGAAACAAAATCCTTATGATCTACAACTATAGACTTGAGATCACAAACAAAATATCATAAGTGTAACTCACCTAATTCAATATGATAATGGTCTATGAAGATTTTGCTACTTTTAATGTTCAATTTCAAGTTATATAGAAGAATTTTTTAAGCTCGTCTATATAATAAAACTATAGAGGTTGGATTGGATTGTATTAAGATCTTAAGATCTTACTTGGATCCTAAGATCTCACTATAAATTTGGCTTCAGATAGATCCTAATAAAATCAAGATTGTTTTTGGTTTGTAGGATCTTAAAAACGTAAGATCTTAAATCAATATTGAGATATTAACAACCATGATGTAAAGGTATAGATTAAATACTAATACACGTATACATACATATTTTCCAGCCACTATGTCTAAGCAAAAAAAAAAAAAAAAAAAAAAAAAAACCGGCTAATCATCATCACTTTCGTCGCTATATGAAACAAGGCCAAGCCCCCCGCCAGTAGCCGCCACATTCACATTCTGGATAGATCCCTTATCCGGCCCTAAAGAAGATCTCTCTGTATCACTAGTAGCAGCATCGTGTCTTTTCTGTTCTTCAAAGTTGAAGTTAACCTGCTCACCTATCCTTGCTTTCTTAGTTTGAGGCTTCACTTTTATAACTACCAATGAATGTGATTTCTTTGCATGTGATTTCTTCTCCCCAGTTGATTGTTTTTCCTACAAGCCAGCCAAAAAAAAATCATGTATAAATAAGGAAATACAAATTAAAAAGAAGAGAGTTCAAAAACATGTAACAATCAGAACCAACCTCAAGTTTAGGAACCACATGAGGTGTTTCCTGTAGCTCCTGTAGCGTGGCAGCTTGTGCAGCCACTGCTTCCTACATCATAAATCAGAAAAAAGAAACACTTTAATAGAAAAATAAAGCACTCAGTAACAAGACATGAATCACATTTTAATGACAACCACACTTCACATTCCAATAAGAAAAAAAAAAAAAAAAAAAATTCTCTGAGTAAGTTTTAAGATCTAATATGTGCATGTGTGAAATACAAAATCAAGAATAACAATATATATATATATATATATATATATATATATATATATATATATATATATATATATATATATATATATATATATATATATATATATATATATATATATATGTGCATGCGTCAAAGACCATGTTTCACTTAAAGAAAAAATGATGGTTGTGAAGTTACTTGGAAACTCCGCAGCTGTTGGGCTTCATCATCTGCCAATTGCTGCTCATATTCTCTCCTTGACTAGACAAACAAAACAAATGGGTTTTCAGAAAACAACTTATGTTACAAAAGAAAAAGAAAACCCAACATATTTTGTATTTTGCAACCATTCCGAATCCAGCCACTATCATTTGCTGCTATACAACAAAATACATGATGTCATTGTCATGATGATAACAGTAATCCATCCCAACTCCGTTGTTAAGCGGTGGATCCCTTCCAGCCTACATCTTCTATATGATCTCATTGAAAATCATATAAAGACGAGTCCTATTTGATATATATATATATATATATATATATATATATATATATATATATATATATATGTAACTATTAAGAAAACAGTGAAAAGCCAACTGACTCCCTCAACTCGCAGCAAGCCTTTATGCCAAATTTGCTTGGGGTACACTCAATCTAATTAATGACCATATAAATAAATCCATCAAAAAAGATAATCACCAGCTCTAGCCTATCAAGGAACTCGGTCTCATCTTCATCTAATGCTTTTGGAGGTCCTGCAATAACAATATATATATATATATATATATATATATATATATATATATATATATATATATATATATATATATATATATATATATTACATCAGTATTCCTCTTTGGTGAATCTCCCCCAATGGAGTGGAGTCGACTTGTGCATGAAATTTACAGGCACTCACTATGCTTGAACCGTTCGTTGAACTCTGCATCTTTCTTGTCCTTGTTCTCCTTCAATATCTGACCAAATTATTTAAATCAGTATTTGTAAAACGATAAAGCACGCTTGAATTTGAAAGAGCTACAAATGTAAATGTGACAGGGTGTCACTCCTATTAGATAGAGTATGAAACACTAAAACATTATATAGGATTTCTTCTTTATGCCTACCTTGTTACAAATAAAGTCGATTAAAATAATGGCTTTGTTTGCAACTTTGGTATTCAGTTACTGGATCGTTCCACAACATGCTTTCGGATCAGATGACAACCAACTTAAGTTAAAGGTGTTTGTTACTCTCATATAAATATAATAATACTTTATTACTTCACAATGTGGACATGAATTGACTGACTAAAGGCACTAACCGCAAAATGATGTCATGTGGAGCAAATGCCAGATAGTTTTGTTTACCGACAATCACTCAGGAAAAAGCTTTCCAAGTGGTGAACATGTACTTGTTCTCAATAAAACAATAGTTTTAAATGACTCATTCCATTCTTTTGAGCCAACCAAACATGACAATGGAATGTAATGATCCATTCCATTATTTTGTTAATTGACTTAATTCCATTCCATCATACAAAACAGACCTTAACCATGTTAGTTTTGTCCTGCTGCTGTTACAATATTGCAGTAATAAATTTTCAAATCCAAAGAATTCATATTTTTAGACTATGCAAAAGATGGGGTATTGTCTTCACATATTATATATGAGTAATGACTAGATTTAGTGGAAGTAATAAACTAAAAACAAGAGATCAAAAGAAGTAGAACTTGAGTAGTGAAAAAGGTGAAAACAAAAAACCTCAAAAAGGGGGCGATCTCTGTGCGCAGTTCCATCCTCAACTCTAGGTCCTCGAGTTTTCTTGGCTTCATCCAACTGTTGGACAACATCCAAAACAAAAGTACAAATATTTTATTAGGTTAACCTCAGGGACATGAACAAAACTCGGTTGAATTAATCCAGCCCTATTTTCAAATTCAAAAACTGCTAATGACAAGCTACCAAACACACTCCTTGAATAAATAAGCAAATAGATTTTCCCGTTGTGTACTAGAAAGAAAAGCAACATTGTAAAGTGTCGCAAGATTAAAAAAAATATAGAAAATTGAATTGGAGAAAGAATGAAGGAACGAATGTTGGTTCACCTGCTCCTGCGATACAAAATTCATCAGCCTGGTTGGCGGAGGGAAACCTTCGTCCGTCATCTCTCTCTCTCTCTCTCTTCTGTGTGTGTGTGTGTGTATCTCTTTTTCCCTCTCTTACTCGCCGCTTCTTTTTGTGTTAGAAAGATTTCTTAACTCCTGTGGGGGTTGTTGGCAACTTAGGGGGTGTTTGGGATTTGCTTATTCAACCAAATAAACATTTTTTTTTTGATAAAAGTGCTTATTAGCTTATATGGTGACAAAAGTAAGTTTTTTAAAAAGTGTTTGGATTAGCTTACTTGTTGTCAAAAAGCTATAAGATCATAAGACTTTTTTTTTTTTTTAAAATGTGTTTGGATCATCTTATTTATGTAAAATGACCAAAAATGACATAATATTAAATAACAAGATGGAAACAACATAAATCAGCAGATTATCTATTTGATATGTTAATTTCTTTTGCTAATTTCTTAAATGAATTGTGCTCTAATCCGTGTATTAGTTGATCCTTCATTTTAGGTCTAATTTTAACCATTTTGCATGCATATAGTCAAACCCTTGTGACATCTGTTGAATTGAGTACTTCAAGTCTGAATATTGTATGCATTTTCTGCTACCCTATGAATCATATAGTGATAGTTTGTTTTCAAGTGTTACTTTTATGTTGGTATACAAGTATTCTTCATTTTGAAAGGTTTGCATTCAATTCCTTATACACCCCACTAAATCCTTTGAGAGACTTCCAAATCGAAGCCCTTTGATGATTGGATAGGTGTTTATCATTGATGCAAATATTTATAAATCACACAGATAATAACACACAAATCACACTATCATCAACATCCGTTTATTCTTTTTCTTATATTATATGGCATGTGAAGGCTGAATGTGTATAACAGATTCCAAAAATTGAGACATTTGGATCTTTTAGTTAACACAGAAATCACACAGGCTGAATATGTAGCTTCGATTTTTTAACAGATTCTAAACCTAGAAATCACACAGGGGAAGCTCACCGATTCCAGAAAAATAAGTCAATGTGCTTCAGAAAAAGACTTACCACACAGGAATCACACACGAAAAAGAAATTGATATGCTTCATCTCGTTTCCCGAAAATGAAATTGATTAGCTTTATCGATTCCAGAAAAAAAAATCGATGTGCTTCATGATTCAGAAAAAAGAAAGAGACTTACCAGGAGATTGGAGATTGGAGGCGGCGGCGGGGATGGGAGAAGTGTCGACGGGTAGAGAGAAGATGCAGCTGAAGTGAAGGTTGAGAAAGAGGCAGAATATTTGAGACGTGAAGGAGGCGAGTTAGACGTGAACGACAGAAGGTAGGCCAACCAGGGTAATATTATCGACGGACTCTCGACTAAAGGCATTTATAATTCATTGAACCTTATTGAATATTCAATATATCATCCATTAAACATCTGTACAACATATCATCCATTAAATATCTTTACAACATCACTCGCAGCCTATTAAACCTTTATTCAATCCTATTTATCAGTTTTCCTTCCATTAAACCATTCAATGATCATTCAACTTCTCCATCCAACTCTTACTTCATGTCATCATCTACACTAACTCTTATTCAATCATAATCATCACCATGTTCAACTCTTATACTACTTGCATTGTGGGTGCTCTAACAAGTAACTAGCCGAGAACCAAGAGGAAACAGTACATGATAGTTTAAAAGTACAAATCAGAAAGACAAATCATGAAAGGGAGGGCATCCACTCTCTCTTGTTACAAGTTACTCTTATACCCCTATGTTTTATCCATAGAAATACCATGAATTTGATATTTTCAGCACCATATGTTGGTAACGTAAATCTTTGTTGGAACAACCTCCGATTCATATATCTCAATAAATTCCAAATCATACCATAACAAATAGATGAGAGGCGTTTATGTTTTTTTGGGCATCTCCCTAAGGCGGCTGCATAATGGAGCACACTGTCAAATGAATGACACTGCATGCAAGGCACCAACTGAACAACTTGTCTCTAATAGCACTCGTGAATGGGTAGTTTACTAGAATGTATTGTACATGATCTATATAATGAGTGAGCATTGTGATTTCATTAAGACCTAGGCTTAGAGTTACTACTTAATGTTTTATAGCAGAACCTTCTGCTGTGAAAAAGGGCAAGGAGCCCGCATGATTGCGACATCTAGGCATGGCATCTATTTATCAATTTATTTTGTATTTATTTAATGTTAGATGATTTTCAAAACAATATATATGCTTCTTCAATCGATATGTATTGAATTCATATTACTAAAAAAAATAGTTTATATTTATGATATTATTGTTATAAAATATGATCAAAAAACAATATAAATTATAAAGTAAAGAAAGACATGAGAGTAGAGAGAACTTTTATTCTAATACTTGTGATGAAATCATCAAACTTTACAATACATAATATTCACTATTTATACTAAACAAAGAAGATGAAAGGTCATGTATGATATGAATGCACATTATAGTGGTGCATAACTACACTCATAAAACTCATAATAATGTTTGCTATAATGTTCACTAATTATGGAGAGTAATGGGGGAATATGGAGAATCCAATAGTCATTCACTAAATAATAATTCATAACACTCCCCCTTGAATGACGATTGTATCATGCCTCGTTAAAACCTTAATCGGTAAAACCTCATGGGAAAAACCCTTTATTAAGGAAAAAGAGTACATGATTAATAATAGATATTGGAAACAATTGCCTCGTTAAAAACCTTGTTAAGAAAACCCAGTGGGAAAAACATAACTAAGGAAAAGAGTACAATATGTTTTCCAA